AAGGTAGAACTTGTAGAACAAGGTATAATCATTCTACAGACTGTTTCATGCTAATGCAACCTTCAGGATGCCACCCCTGACTACGAACAAGCTCTGTAAAACAGCGCATTCCAGCACAAATGGAATACCAGCCTTCACAACCAAAATCCCTAAAGAGAAATAGAAGCAGACAAATAATCTGGTACAACCTACCATTCAGCAAAGGAGTGAAAGCCAACATCGGAAAATTATTCCTTAACTCGGCCTCAGTGTGGCATACCAGGCTTAGAATCACACAATAGGCACTAACCGATTTATTATATTATAATCTATAAGTCATTTCACGACGTTTAGAAATACCGATCATCGTGCAGTATTATACTCATATGTATGAATACCAAGTGGCAGTTTACAATACTGTAATCAATGAGCATTAGTTATGTTTATTTGTTTTTATACTTAGATACGGGAGTTCCAACTTATCCTAGTTGCCCAGAAAATCCTTTAATTTTCAATACGAGTAACTCTGACCAGGCCACCGCTACCTGGGACACACCTATTCCGACGGACAATAGTGCTGATGATATATCAGAGTCAATGCAGACATTTCCGGATGAAACATCCGGTGCTATGTTTCCAATTGGGGACAGTATGCTCACATACTCTGCGACGGATGGGAGTGGGAACACTGGTTACTGTTATATAACTATTCGAGTATTAGGTAAGAATAATATATAACTAATATATAGAATTTATATTTTTGTTGTTTTAAATTCATTTATTGCTGTTTCCATAATCAAATCAATCTTACTGTATGCAATATGTACATACTATCAGATAAATTTAAAAAAAACAAAAATTTGTGAATCATCTTTATATAGTTGTTGATGTTAATTAATATTATTTTATGTTTTTATATAGTATACCGTAATATTTATAGAAATGAGAGTGGTGGAAGCTTATTAAAATGGGCTTATCCAATTATACTATTAACGAGAGAAAAAGAAAGTTAATAATCTTAAGTACTTCTTAAAAATGAATTAAGTAGAATACAAATCTACACAATTAAAATTACTTCTACCTTGATATTGAGACTTATTAAGCCCTTAGGCATGTGTGACCCTCTGTACGTGACAATCCTCTAATCGGTCGTATGGGGTGAACTTCAGCGGGCGACGACGCCAATGCACTTCCAATCGAGATTCAAGTGTATTCAGTGTATCAGACTCAATAATATTCTTTTGCAGGTTGTTCCATAAATGAACAATGTAAATTGAGAAAAATTTCTGACGGATTCTGAGCCTAGCAAAACCTTTTGCCAATTTCAATTAATGACCTCTTGTCCTAAAAAAATTTGGGTGCTTTTGATTTTATCAAATTCTTTAATTGAATCATTCATTTATACCGACCTCAATCTTCTTAAATGTAGGATGGGAATATTTAACATGCGTAGACGTGATTCATAGGTGTTCGATCAAATCTTTCGAACCATTGTAAGCTCGTTGCTGAACTTTTTCCAACTTGTCACAATCTTTATGAAAAATATGTTGCCACACTTGATTGCAGTATTCTAGGGATGGTCTAATTATCGCTTTGTATATGTGAAAAAAAGATTTCCTATCCAAGTATTGAAAAGAAAGTTTGATCAACCCCAATTTTTTTATTAGCTTTAAGAGCAACCTGAGAAATATGCGAGTCGAAGTTGAGTTTATTGTCTTAAAATTCATAATCCATAATTTTATCGACAGTTTGCAAAATGTACCTATACTGGCCTATGCCCATACAATATTGGTGATTCTGGTTCTTTCTTCCAAAGTGATTATCGTTGCATTTGTTTATATTAAATGGCAATTGAGATAGTAATGACCAATCAGGAAGCTTGTCGATATCGTTTTGTAATTCATTAGCATCTGTGTGATTGCTAACTTTTCTAAACATTTTTCAGTCGTCTGCAAAAAATTTTTACGCGAGATTCAATACCATCAGAGAGGTCATTTATAAAAATGTAAAATAGCACTGAACCTAGCACACTACCCTAAGGAATACCACTAGAAACTGGAATACTTGCAGATTTACAACTCACTGTGACCTGCCCAAGAGAAATACTTCAATCCACCATTAACAGGTCCCCACTAATTTCGCTTAGCAAAATGCATTTAATAATTTAATACAATATTGATCATAATAGAGTAATTCTTTATTTTGATTCAGATACTGGAGATCCTGTTGTATATTCCTATCCTGAAAACATGACAGCCAATACTGATTTTGGTCAGCCTACTGCTGTTGTCAATTGGACAGCTCCAAATGCAACAGATAATTCTGGAATTGTTCTATTTTCTTATGAAACAAATGGAACTTCATTTAATAGCCCATCTTACAACTTCCCCATAGGCCTCAGCGAAGTAGCAGTAACTGTTGCAGACCCATCTGGAAACAATGTGACAGGCGAATTTTACATTACAGTTCAAGGTATTTTATAGGTGATATTGGGCAGTGGCGTATCTAGAGGCTGTCTCTTATACACATCTAGATGTGTATAAGAGACAGCAAATAATCTGGTACAACTTACCATTCAGCAAAGGAGTGAAAGCCAACATCGGAAAATTATTCCTTAACTCGGCCTCAGTGTGGCATACCAGGCTTAGAATCACACAATAGGCACTAACCGATTTATTATATTATAATCTATAAGTCATTTCACGACGTTTAGAAATACCGATCATCGTGCAGTATTATACTCATATGTATGAATACCAAGTGGCAGTTTACAATACTGTAATCAATGAGCATTAGTTATGTTTATTTGTTTTTATACTTAGATACGGGAGTTCCAACTTATCCTAGTTGCCCAGAAAATCCTTTAATTTTCAATAATAGATATGGAAAATCCAAACATCACATGCCCAAAAAATTCCTCAAATTATTATTCCAGCCTCTCCCCCGATGCTTGGGTAGTAAACACCGATGTTGGAAAAATGTTTGCAGCTGTATTTTGGAACATACCTGATGTCAGTGATAATAGTGGCGAAACAAGTCTCTCCGATCCATCACACTTCAGTGGAGATATCTTCAATGTAACAGAGAATTATACTGTTGTGTATACTGTATCTGACCCCTCAGGCAACAAAAATAATTGCTCATTTACAATTGTTGTTAAGGGTTTGTAAAAAATCATTACCACATTTTGTTATTTTTTTTAAAACAAACTTTATTGGTAAATTTAATATTATAATAATAATATTTAATAAAATTTTATATTTAAAAAGATCTAAGACAGTTACCAACTTCCCAGAAAACACAAAACGTTCTTGTAACTTTCGCGAATGTTGTGGTTAGGTATGTCACATAATAACCTTCACACAACGTAGTAAAAACGTTCAAACGTTGTGAAATTAGGTTATAGGTACGTACATATGGTTCTACAAAATAACGTTTTTATCACCAAACTGTAACGTTATTACAACATTCTAAGAACGTAATATTTTTAGCTGGGTTGGCCTCATAGCTAAGCTGGTAGCATCTGAGTGATAATCAAAAAATTTGGTGTCGAATTCTGATGAGAACGTGTTCAGCAGCGTTTTGACGTTCGCTCTCTGACACTAGCGAGTTTTAGATCTGCGACGACGAGTTACTTGGAACGGTATGACGTTATTGTAAGGCATATGCGCATGCGTAATTATATTGGGTTTCGTCGAGTTCATTCGTAGAGGACGTGAAATCAGCCGGGAATCCGTCGTCACAACAGACATACACTTCTGACCAATCACAGTACGTCAATTGGCAGTCGATCATGCCAACACTAGATAGATTCGTTTTCAAGCTCGCGAATATCTTGCTGGGCTCTGTTGTTCACCAAGAAAATATGGCTAGAAAATTGTAAGTTTAAACGTTATATATGAATATGATTACTTTTGTTTCAATGATTGATAATGGTATAGGTAGGCCTATCACTTTTATTTTTGTTTGCTTTCATAGAGTAAAAATAACGTAAGGCTTTGATCATTCATATCTAAACTTCGCGAACGCCCACACATAGGCTAGGCCTAATTAATATAGTGTAGGCCTAGGCCTATATAAATAAAGGCCTAGCCTAGGCCTAGTAGTATAGGCCTAGGCTAAGTCTATATATTAGGCCTATGTAGGTCTAGGCCTAGTATCCTACATACTACTACTACTACTGTACTATTACTACTACTACCATAAAGACATAAAGCCCTACAAGAATATATGGATTGAAGAAAAAATATAAAAATAAATTAGATACGAAAAAGCAGATGCATCGGGCTATTTATTATTCCTATAAAATTAGGCATGGCCTAAGGCTAGGCTAGGGCCTAAAAAATAAATGGCATACTGTACCTAAGTTAGTAAATATTCATTGATTTTACTTTTTCAGATTATTAACGTTCAATAGTACTCTACCCACTACAACTGCAAGTTCCGGAATCAATTCTATCCAACAGCTTTTTGCATGTAAGTTAAGGCCTATATTAGTATTACTACTTTTTTGTTAAATTGGATTTTAGTAATGTGCTGTTTTATTTAGGTCTAGATATTTTATAGATGCCTGAGGCCTAGGTATGTTCGTTTTTTTGGGTGTGTGTTTTGGGTAGAGATTTCTTTTTCTTTCTCTTTTTTTTTTGTTAATACTGTAATACCATCATGCAATTTTACAACACACATTTTGAGTCTATCTTTTTACCAGTTTTGTACACATTTACTGTATCTGTTTCAGATGGACAACAAACACCAGGAGCAATACCCATTGTTGTAGATTTTCAAGATAAGCTGATTTGTACTGGTAAGTTTTCCAACCTTATTGATCTTGTCTTAGAATACGGACACCATGGCAGGCAAAACTACTTGTTTGTAATAAACCCAAATAGATAATAGTAAAAATTCATAATATCAATAATAATAAATAGCAAAAATAATAAAGTAACCAAATATTAAAAATAATAATAATAACAACAACAACAACAATAACACTGTTAATAATAATAATATTAAATAATAATAAACAATAATAATATAAAATAATAATATAAAATAATAATATAAAATAATAAATACAAATAATATTTCAATCAATGTATAATTTTATTAATTTCAGTAGCACCATTGACCACATCAGCAGATCAAGTTTTTGTTACTTTGCACCATAAAAACATCTTAATTTTTTATTTCTTTTTTTCTACTAATAAAATGAGGACTTAATGTATCTCTTAAAAATGAGTACTATTATGATGACCTCAAATACTTAGCCCCTCACATCAAATCTATGTAATGTCATGTTGATTAATGCAATAATGGAACTTTATTCTTGAGTAAACTTTATCAACAAATGCCATTTATAATAATTTTCAATGAATTAAAATTTATTTTTTCCTATTTAGATGGGGTGAAGAAATGAACAATGATTTAGTAAAAGAGATGCTCAATTCAAATATTTTTAGCTACAAATATAATTCGAAGAGCCAAGGTTTGCGATTAATCCATTCGGAGCGACAACAGACTGAAATTTATTACCATAAATTCTTTTATGTCCATTTTACATAATTCTTTGCGACTGTACAGGTCTACAAACGGGTCGAACAGTCCCATATATGAACCCCCCCCCCCCAACAGTTGTTGAGTGGTGCGCCCTTAGTTTGAATAACATTACAAAATTCTTGAAGCTTATCTGGAGCAAGTCATGGCTGTTGGAGAGTTTCCAAAAGATGGTTACAATTGTCGTAAATAATGATGTCCACGATTTTGCCCGTTGCCAAAAACAACTCTGTTATGACCGACGGAAGTTTGGAACCATGTCTGTATATCGACATGATACGCAAAACGATAAAAAAAACATACAAAATGCCTCGATTCTATCAAATACGGATCCATTTTTGCATCGCCCTTCATGCGGAATTCTTAAAACATCATTGATAAATGTCATCCTTTTCAAATCTTGAATTAAATAATGTTATTTTGTTAATACAAAAGTGTATACTGTATATATACAGGTATATTGATATTGGCTTGTGTGTGAGGAGCCAAAGCGGCAGAGGCATATTTAAGAGTGGGTCTAACAAAGGTGGTGTAGCATTGTGCCTTAAAGACCGTCTGACAAGCTGAATTATATGACTTATAAGAAAATATACAAATATATATTTGTATGTATGTATGTATGTATATGATAATAATAATAATAATAATAATAGTACAGTAATAATAATATATCAATTTGATACATAATTACATATTCTAACTGGACTCTAACTGGATGTATACATTGTGCCTGTATTTAACATTTTTCAATCATTGTCAATCTAAAGTCGGAGTTATGTCCTGGTTTTGACCCTTTAACGTCACTATTGGATAGGCTTATCTTCATTAGACTTACTGTAGTGTGTAGTGTTTTAATTGCTATGTGCTTGTTTGTAAACTTGACATTTTGGTCAAATTAATGAATAATTGACACACTGCCTTAATTCAACTTTATTTATTTATTATTAAATTGTATTTATAATATTTTATTGATGTATGCCTAATATAATTTTAACTGGTAGTCATGGTTTAAAGTTTGATTCTAAACTTATTTTGGCCTCTTAATGTCTATACACTTATTATTTAATGTAATATTATTCTTATTTCTTTTACTATCAAGTTTTTTTTGGTTATTGTACAGTATTATGTATGTGTATGTGAGTGAACAAATTGAATGAAATAAAAAAAATTTAAAAAAATGCAGACTATACAACTGCTTCTCTTTTGTTAAATAATGGCTCTGAAAAGAGCCTTTTGGTTTGAGATTCTTGTTTACGTGAGACTGCTAAATCTTGAAAGATGTTTAGCTATTGCTACATCTTTCTCGGGTATGCTAAATGCTGAACGAACAGGTGGTGGTGGAGAACTGAGTTGTGGAATGGAGAGTTGTGTGTCTTCTTCCCACTGCTACACAACTAGATTACCTCTGCTATAGGCTTATATTTTATAACTGGGTTTTTTCGCCATTTCTTCCTATTTTTATGGGAGGATGAAAGCAATTTGGGAAGTGCTCTGAATGCCCAGTATATATGTTTTGAATATGATTCTTTAAGCTCATAAACTTCCCAAACATTTCAATTGGATCTCCGCTAGGTGTCAACGAAGTCACCCAATAAACATACTTTTTGCCCACTCCTGCACAACTTCACAATCATTTTTCATTCCCGATGGCTCGAACTCTTTTTTAAGGCCTGAACAAATAGTTTAGAAGAATGATAAATATTAATTTTATTGCTGAACAAAATAATATTTCCAAAACCCAACCAAGAGCAAATTATTTGGTCCACTTTTAATAATATAGGAGGGTAAAATGAATAAAAATAATAATTATACAATAATAATTGGAGTGGAATAAAGCCAGAAGATGATGACAAATTAAAAAAAAACAATAGGCCTGAAAGAACAGTGTAAAAAAAATTGAACAAATTTAAAATAAATTTTTAAAATCATATTGATGCATAAAATAGTTACATTTTACAGTATGGTTTGTTTTTTGCAATATAAAGAAATTGAGGAAGTTTATTTAGTTGATCCCTGAATAATAAGATGTTTACTATAGCTTATAGTATAGGGGAGGAACACAACAATAAATTGTAACAATGTTATAATTTGTTAAAAAGCGCTAAATGTGATACACAGCGTAGCAACAGTTTCAAGTTCATTCAGTGCAGAGACATTATTGGTACAGCATGTATGCTACAGTAGTACAAAACGTTACAGTTTTATTTATAAAACGAAGCTTTGGATTTATTTTTACATTGAAGGATTCATGGATGTGTTTGACATAGAATTTGGAAGAATATAAGTATGATTAATATTGTTTTTACAATTGAAGGATATGCTTGTACTGTACTTTTGATCATTAACCTAGCTAGGCCTACACAGTATAAACCTAACCCCACAAAAGCCTAGGCCCTAGGCCTATAGCATACATGCCAAGTTTGAGTTTGGCTGTGGATGGAGATTTGCACAGGAACGAAACAATTTAGGCGTGGGTCGAGGGCCCGCCTAGGGCGCCGGAAATTTTTAGGCCTAGATGCTCTCTCTGGTGCACTCTGAGCATATCTCTAGTGCTCAAATTAAATCTTAAAAATGGGGTAATATATACTAACATTTTTTGAAAAATAAAATTCTATAGCTTGAAACATCACTGTCCGACATTTTGGATTTGAATGATGCATCGATGATGATAAGCGCAGCCAAGACCCTATTTTCGCCGGTAAAACCATCGTGGATTCTGGTTCGCTGAAAGTATTGATATGCATGATCGCGGTCGTAAAGTTAAAATAGAAATGACGTAATGTGTACAGCGCCACCAGTGTTAATTTTACACGAATACATTGTTTACTATCGGAACGGCATGTATTTTCGCGAAGCGATAGAACTTTCGTAGATTTTATATGCCTTGTAAAACTACAGAATTGTCACGTTTTGGATATTTTTGTATTAAATTGTGGGTTTTAATAAAAAATCTTGAGATTATTAGAAAAGCTGGAGATTTTAGGCTAGTGGCGGGAGAGCTGGAGGTTAGGGCGAAAAGCGGGATATTAAATATGCCTATTTAATATGGCATTTAATATTTACAGTGGATAATTAGGTAATTTAATCAGCCTATTAGCTAAGCCAAGGGAGCCTAGCCTAAGCTAGGCTAGGTCTAGGCGAGGCCGCCAGCCAGCCTTCAGTCAGGCCGGGCGTATCCAGGAAAAAGGAAATAATTTTTCAGTGATATGTTAAAAAAAAAAATCCTATATTGTACAAAGAAGGAGAGGTGCACCCTCAACAGGAAGATTTATGTTTTTACAACTCCCTGCCCTGAATACCCCATGGATATACCAAAGGGATTCGCGAAGTCGATGAAGATTTGCCATGTTGAGCTGCGTAGACTACAGTCAGTACCTGAGTGTTGAGTAAGATACCACGGCCAGTGTATTCGAGTAGCGCGCGCGAACATGGGGAAACCCCAGATCATCACAAGGTCATAAGTTCACTGACGTGTCAACATGGACGTTCACTTAAATCGAAACGTTCAGATAACCAGTGGACAAGTACCAGTTGACTGCTCGGATTTTCCACTCGCGCGGACGTGAAAGCCGTCCACGTCCACTCAAATCGAAAATTCCTTATTGTTGCTGGTGCTGTTGCTCCTGCTGTTGTTGTTGTTGTTGTTGTTATTATTATTATTATTATTAAGTAAAGCACCTTATAAATGCCATGTATTATTATTATACTATTATTGTTATTATCAAATAATTAACAGTTATTAATGTACAATACGTCAATTATTAAAAATATTCTTATTTCCAGACAAAGAACCACCTGTTCCAAGTTGTCCATCACTAGTTAATACTGGTGTGACTGATGAGGGAAAACCAAATGGCACCGTCAGCTACAACCTTAATGTCACTGATAATGTTCAAGTTGCCATGTTCTCAACCAACTATACAGACATTGATCCAGCTGCCATGACACTTGATGCAGCTTATGATGTTTTTGAGACTACTGGTGTATTTCCAATTGGAGAAACTATAATTGAATATGTCTTCACTGACAATGGATCTCCTACAGGAAATGAAGCTACATGCTATGTCAAAATACAAATTGAGGGTAGGCTAATAGGCCCTACTAAGTTATAGTGACGTATAATACATGCTGTAGTATTTTTATTTCGGTCTAAAATATTTTGTTAAAAACAATAGATAACAATGTTGAGAAAAAATACCACAGGAAATTATATTATTTGAAAAATATATAAAAAATTCATTCAAAGTATCAAGGACTTTCAACTGTAATACGAATATACAATTACACAATTTATTTATCTATTTAACCAATTTAAAAAAAATGTTATTTTTGGTTAATATGATTTGGATTTTGGTGATTTTTTTTTTTTTTGCATTTAATAACTCCCTTGTCTCCAAGTTATGCAATTTTGACTGTCTCAAACTTGTTGACAAACATTGCAAAACTAAAACTTGCAGACTAAGACTCTTCTTCAATCGAATTGTTCCCATGTTGAACCAACTTCCTCATCCTATACGTTCATAACTCCACAATTACGATTATTTGATCACATTAGATTGTAACAATGTTACTGTATTGCTGTTTGTCTAGACTTGTAAGGATAAAATAAAATATTTCTTAGATGATATTTTCAGTTTATTTATTTCTTTTTTTTGAAGATCAAGAAAACCCTGAGATTGTTGATTGTCCAATGGATATAATAGTAAACACAACACATGGACAACCAGTTGCTATCAATGTCACATGGACGGAGCCAACAGCTACTGATAACTCTGGAGAGACACCAGAACCAGAGTCTGACTACACCTCTGGTGACAATATGTTTGTGATTGGTGACACAACAGTGCAGTACAATGCATCAGATTCAAGTGGTAACTCCAATGATCGCTGCAGCTTTACTGTCACTGTTGAAGGTACTCTAATTTGGATATTATTATTCACGATAGTACGATAACACTTTATTGCAATTTAAAATAAAATACAAATTGAAGTTTAACATTAAAAATATATAATACAATTGCAATAATTCATCTACTGAAGGAAATAAAACTTAGGAATGACATGTTTCGACGTGTCCCACGTCATCATCAGGTAATAACGCTTATGCTACTAATGGTTTAAATACTACCGGTCAGGTATAAGACGAAACAAGCAAATATATTAAGGTAAGTCATGTATATAGAGGTTAAGAATACTATGGTAAGTCATGTATATAGGAATTAGAATGAATTAGAATGAGAGAGTGATATTGTAATGAGTTGTTTGTTCAGTGACTGATTTCCCCAAGCAAAGGAGCATTTAGTTTGGGACAAGTCATCACACATATTTCAACATCTTCAAAACTCTGTTAAATGTCAAAACACATCTAATTCAGACTGTTTTACTATTCTTGACTCCGCCCACAATACTTATCAACTTAAAATAAGAAG